ATCCCACAGCAGGTATATGTGTATATATAGGCATGATTGAGCCATGGTATGTGTATAGAGGTCAGAGGACAACTTGGAGAAGTTGGTTCTCTTCATATGCCACACAGATCTAAGGGATGGAATTCACCTGTCTCAGCAGCAAGCACTTTGACTCAATGAGCCCAGAAGCTTGTGGATTTTAATGGTTAGAAGGAAAATAAAATTTGAAGGATTTGTTCTTATATTTTGTCACATTGTGAACAGTTTTGTGTTTTTCATTTCTGCTGCATTTTAAGTTAGTTAAAAGCATTAGCAAATGATTACATGAATTATCCAGAATTTCAGTAATTAAATAAATATGCAAATTAAACACTATTTGGAAGGGCGTTTAGTTGCTTTCTTCTAAGAGACATTAGCATTCATTTACTGTTTAAATGGTTAGATGTTTTCCTGAACAAAAGATAACTCATCATACAAATACCTGTAATTTTTTTTCATAAATGGTCCAAATTTATTGTACCTTTAGATTAAAAATATAAAAACAAAATTATATTTTACTATCTATTTTAAATGAATACAAACTATAATTTTTCCAAAAGAGATAAGGAATTATATTTAATCCCTGAATTTTTCCTAAAATAAAATGTAATTATTTTTTAAAATGGTCTTTCCAGTGATGCCACAGAGTGACACAATATTACTGCATTTTAAGGATCCAAACTCCCCTAGTTTTCTAACAAACTATATGCAGAATTTATGAGGAGAATCGATACTGCGAGATACTTGGGGTGCAGTGAGCTTTTAAGACCCATTCTTTTACCACAGAAAGCCGTCAAATGGCGTATCACTTGCCTTTGGTTAGTGTTTTATGTGGCATCTCCTATTCAGATACTGTCAGTGTCACTCTGAAGATACAGTGACAACCACTTGGGTCCTCTAGTTCTGATTAGAATGTTCTTGTGCTTTGGAGAAAGCATTCCTGCTTGGTTTAAATATGCAGACTAATTTCCCACCAGGATCCCCTCTTCTCCCTTTCTCTTGCAGCGCCCAAGCCTGTTTGCACCAGGCTTGCTGTCTGCCCCGGATGACTAATCGTCATGGCACCTGGTGCATTCAGGCAGTCCTGTGCAGCGGAATCGTCATCCCTAGTTATGTCTGCACACCTGATGTTTTATTAACCAGTATTGATTTTTTTACCCAGGGGACTTTTTTCTTCCTGAAAAAAGGCAACCTTGCAGGAGTGAAAGGCATTGCAGGGGATGAATTTCTAATGAACTCCCTTTCCCCTTTTTGTGGCTCCTCTTTAATGTAGCTTCGTATTTTAAGTGCCCGAATTGAAATTTCATTTTTAGCAATTCTATTTTGATAAATCCTTTCAAATCTTGACTTTCTGTAAGGTTATTTTTTAAAGATTGTGCTGCTTGACTGAAATGCTTAGTAGTGCCTATGAATTTGAGCATTTCATTATAGGCTGCAATGAAGCATGCTCGCATGCAGTGAAATACAGAGGATTCTGGACTATTTGAGTAATGCTTAGAGAAATGAAAAGGAAGAAAAATCTCATGTCGTATTTCAGGTAGTCCTTAAGTTTCTTCTGGCTTGTTTAGGATCAGTTCAAAGGAATAAAGAGACAGTGCAATGCGTGAACCAGCCTGATATCATAAAATGAATATGTAGCTCAGCAGTTACTTAGTGACAGGAAAGGATTATTTTTGCATTGGAATATAAACATTTATGCTCGGTGTTATGTGGTACCATTTATAGAGCTATCCTGAAGCTGATGATACAAGAACATCTGAGGTTTTTCATCCCTCAATATGGCATGGAATTTCCCATTCAGAAACAATACTTCATTGTTGTTGAGCATTTTCCCCCATTGGACTGAAATGATGGCCCGTATTTCCACATTTAACTTAAATTAGGGAGTTTCTTAATCATTTCCTCTGACTTTGAGTTTATCTGTAGCGTGGTTGAGCTTTTATTGCTGCATTTTTAATTTACTGCCTCAGCCCATCAGGCATTGTGTACAGAATGCATACACACCATGAGTTGTCAGTAGATGAGGGTCCTCATGAGTCATGTTGACAGCTGGCTTGCACTATCATGGTAAATAGGCCTGGTTCTGTCATTTCCCCCAAGCTGGAGGCATTCCTTTTCTAAGGAATGCCTATCTTTCAAGATATTGCAGATGATAATGCATTAAGTGTTTTCATTTTGAAAAGGTTTATATTAACTGTATACTAATACACTGCATATTCATTAATTGACCTCTCTGCTTTTCTTACAGTTTTTGGCACTGGGTACACATTATGGCAAGGTTTATTTACTTGATGTCCAGGGAAACATCACTCAGAAGTTTGATGTAGTAAGTATATGGTGTAAAATAATGTACATGTTAAGTGTCATGCTAAAAATTTGTTATTTTAGCAGTTGAATAGCATAAGAAGCTATTAACTAAATTAGAATGCTAAGAGTACAGTCTAAAATTTATAGTATATTTCTCAAGTTTTAAAGATGAACTAGAGAAAAAGATCTGTGTAGATACAAGTATACATATATTAGTTTGACTGATGTGTTTGTATTTACATAATATTTGTATAAATTTATCATTATAGGAATCCATTTGACTTTGAATGGAGCATTAAAACAATACATATGTGTATATATACTTAATTGGAAATGTAGAATGTCTAGATCAGTGGTTCTCAACCTTCATAATGCTGTCACCCTTTAATACAGTCCAGCTCCCACCTTTTGAAGGGTTCTTAGGTGGAGGAGAGAGGAATGAGGAAATATCAATTAGAAAGAGAGACCTAGCCGACGAGGAGAAAGACAGACAGGATAGCTTAGGGAGGGCCTGGGTCAATACCCAATAGCCTTGAAGGTTTATTCAAAGGGTTTTTTATAACATGCCAAGGGGAGAAGCAAAAGCCTTCCCCCTTTCTAGACCAAAGCATACTGTACAGCCAAGTATAGACCCTTCTAAATACCTGGTAACCATGCCTGTGGCCAAATCATCTCCTTATGCAGCCCTGCTAGGTAAAGCAAGCTCAGATTCTCTGACCCTGAGTAAGTTCTCACTAGGAAACCTCTGTGGGCTCCCACACAGTTCCTCATATTGTAGTGACCCCCAACTATAACATTATTTTGTTGTTATTTCCTAATTGTAATTTTGCTACTCTTATGAATTGTAATGTAAATATGTGATATTCAGGATATCTGATAAGTGACCCCCAGAGGGGTTGCAGCCCACAGGTTGAGAACCACTGGTTTAGATGAACTGTTATTAAAACAAAAAGATCCTGCTTTTATTAGTGAATAATGCTAATTTACATGCTTTGAAGTTTGTGGAATCCTTTGTGTGTGAACTTCTTTTTGATGTCTGAATTGTCTTGCCATCTAATTGAGTTGCCAAATGTGATTGAAGCTTGATTGGTTGTATTGGTGGATCAGTTTATCTTTTCTAGTATGTACGGTTCAGATGTTTTATGTGAATGCTTTTAGGCTTACTTGGTTGAGATGTTGGGTATTGAAGATGAAGGAAATGTTACATTTGAAGTTTGATTTTTGTGTGTAATGTACACCTTAAAGGTATTGGTAACGTCTGGTTTTTGTGTGACTATGAAAATGTGGGGTGAAAAGATAATTATTTTGTGTGGGGGCAGATGTTAAGTCTTTTTAGATTTATTTATTTTATTTTTGTGTATGAGTATTTTATCTGCATGTATATATGTCCACTACCTGTGTCCCTGGTGCACGAGGAAGTCAGAAGAGGGGCTTGGATCCCCTGGAACTAGAGTTTTTGTAGACTATTATGAGCTACCATGTGCATGCTGGGAAATGAACCCAGGTGCTTTGCAAAAGCCACAAGTATTCTTAATTATTGAGCCATCTCTCTAGTGGAGTGAGGGGAGGCATGACAGATATTAAATACTAATAACAAAACCTCTCAGCTCTTGTTGTAAGACCTATTATAGCACACTGCAGTTTCTAAAGCCAACATGTGATACATGAGAGGTAAAGGAATGTAGCATCTAGAAAGGGAAATGTACCCTCTCATTGTACTGCTCCATCAGGGCAACTCTATTGTTTGTTTTCTCTTAATTATCCTTTTTGGACAAGAGGAATGTACTCCTTCCTGTCCTTCCTCTATTACTTCAGTCACTGGCTATACAGCTTGGCGATCTAAGCCTTTGGTCTTTCCACTGTGATCTGTTAACATAAAAATGCAGATGAGTGTGTGTGTGTGTGTGTGTGTGTGTGTGTGTGTGTGTGTGTGTGTGTGTGTGTTTGTGTGAGTAGGGTGAAGTGGGGGCAGCGGAGCATTACACATGACTGCCCCACTTTAAAAAAAGTTTGTCCGAGCAGTCTCTCAAGTCTTTAATATGCATTGTTTAGAACATGTGTGTTTGCATGTGAGCTTTATAGTCATATACTTTTGTTCTGCTGCCCCAAAGCAGCCTTTGTGTCTACTGAGCACGTGCCTTCAGTTCTGTCTTCTGTGAATCAGTGATGTGTTAGCTCTGTCCTTTGTCCATCAATTTACGGGGTATCCATGATCTCACCCATATGATTGTCGGAACTTTTGGTTTGGCCCTGTCTGATGCTGTTATTGTTTGTTTCTTTTTATTGTTTTTCCTTTCTTTGGTAGATAAAGAAGATGATTTGATGATATTTTATTTGTTTATTCTCTCCAAGAAATTAGATAATTTGCCCTGGAAAAGTTACTTGTGTGAGGTCATGGCTTCTTGATGGTGTTTGTCAGATTAGAATTTTAAGGGTCAAATTTCAGATGGTCATTATCTTTTGGAGGAAGTGCTAATATCAGTTCCACATCTGTCATGAGATTTTTATTTCCCTTTTCCTGTTTCTGTTGTGTTTGATTGGTAGGGCTCAGGGTGCCTCTTCTTTTAAAGACTGCCCTTTGATTTTGAAACCATTTGTTAGCACTTGAATGTCTTCAAAGGTAATAGCTGCCAATTTTTACATTGTTCTGCATTATTTGTTTGAGACAGTCTTACCTTATAGTCCTCCACCCCCATTCTGTGTTCTTATGTGTATCACAGGAAGGCCCGGGGAAGGACTCTAGCTCCCCCGGAGTTCTGGGGTTGTACGTGGCAGTTCTGCCTCTGGCCATGGTTGCCATAGCTATTCTAGAACCTTTCTCTTCATTGGGAAGATAATAAAAAAGAAGCAAAGATTTTAAAGAAATTAGTGAATATCTTTGATTTGATTTTTTAGCCTGTAGGTAAAAAATAATGTAAACAAATTCAGATCAGACAAAATAATAATTTATTATATTTGTATAACCTTTCTTTTACTTTCCTCAAGAAATGTGTTTTCAGCCCATTCATTGCATTGGTACTTTTGATTCCAGCAGTGGAATAATGACACAGTGGTGTTGACCTTGTTGGCAAAGGATGGAAGTATGAAGGAATCACTTTTAAAAATGTGTGTAAGGTGATTCACATATTTGAGCTGGATAGTGCCATTATGCCAGAAGTTAACTTTCTCTTACCTATGTAATATAAGAGAAGAAAACTGAACAACTCATGCTGTATTTTAAAAAAAGTAATATTGCTTCTGCCACTAATACCTCAAGAGGAATAATATTGTTGGTGGAATCTGCTAAAGCTGAGCAAGGCTGCCTGATAACCTGGCAGTTGCACTTTGAAGAAATTCATTTCCAAGAAGAATGAATGCATGTAGCACATAGGTCCATAAAACTGTAGGTCAGCAATGGCTTAATTCCTGATAGCCCCTAAATGGAAGCAACCCAAATGTCCACTGGTAGGAGAAATGGATATATACATTGTGCTGTGTTCTGAGCAACAAAATGAACAGATTGTTAGTACGTGCTTACAGTGGCTAATGAAGCCAGCTAACCAGTGTTACTTTTGAATTCCTGTTTGGAATGTATGATTATGAAATATCATTATACTTTCTCTTAAATGACTCTCATTTTTCTGTAACATATTCATTTAAAATTTGCCATCAAAGTACTTATTTAAAAAAATTACCACATTATTGTGTCATTTTTGTGTTGAACATTTTAGAGCATTATGTCACATCAGCTAAGTATTTTTTTATGTGTTGGTAAAAATGGAAATACTCTATTAGTCAAACCAAAATTCTCGTACACCAAATTTTTGTGTTTTTCTTTCTTTACTAGAGGTAGAAAGCTACAGGTTTTTACTGTGATGTGTCATGGGAAGATGTTAGATTAAGACTTTAGAAAAACATATGATTATTGAATAAAAGAGTAAAAAAGTAAACAAGAGCTTTAGGCCTTTTTTGTTGTTGTTGTTAAGATTGACAATATTTCTGATGAGGTAAGGATTTTCCTTGAATTCCAGTAGTCTGTTAGTATTTCTAATTGTTTTCATTTAGGATAAATTAACAGCTTCTGATCCACAGTTGCCAATCTTTGGAACTGTTTATGTTCATACATTAATAAAAACCCATCTGCAAAATTTAACTAGTTTGAAAATTGTTTGTTGTTTGTTTTCTGAGAAAGGGTTTCTCTGTGTAGCCCTGGCTCTCATGGGACTTACTCTGTAGACCAGGCTGGCCTCAAACTCAGAGATCAGCCTGCCTCTACCTCCTGAGTGCTGGGATTAAAGGCATGCTGCTGCCTGGCTGAAAATATTTTTGTTTTCAGGAAAATGGATGAAAATCATCATATTAAGTGAAATTAGTCAAACTCAGAAAAACAAATATTGTGTATTTTATCATATTAAAATAGATTTAAAGAAAGAAAAAAAAAACAACCACAGGACTTGAAAGCATAAGGGGGTCTATTTGGGAACAGGAAAGTGACCAATGGGGAAGGGTAGAGGAACAAGAGAGGAGAACTGTGGGGTTGATTGTGTGTAAAGTACATGATCTTCAGACATGAAGCTCAAAGGTTGCCAAGCTGGAACTTTCCAAAAGCCTCCTGGACCCCGAGGGTTAGATTTTATGGTACTAGAAGGCACAAAGCAAGCTTCAAAGGAAGGAAGCAACCAATAGTCCTATCCTGATATGACACCAGCAACCAACATGGCGTGATAGCCCTAAGGGTACAAAAGTGGCGTGTATACCCTGGCAATAACCAACAGCTCTCTAATTGGATTTATGAGCCACTCAAGAAGGAAATCATCCTTGGCACTAGAAACCTAGCCAGCTGTGTAGGGCCAATGAAGTCATGGATCTTGGAGGAAAACTTACAACTACCACTGTATCAAGCCAACATAATTTGTAACTGCTTTCTAAATATTTGTCCTTATACTCACAGATAAGTATAGTTCTCAACCCTCATTCAGGAAACTTCTCTTTGCAAAAGAGAGAGACATTTACAGAAAACCACAATTTATGAAGTGTAGAATTATGGATCCCAGTGATAAATATCCGCAACACAACTTCTGCACCTGAGGCTCAAGGTTCATTGTGGAAGATGGGACACAAATATTCTAAGAGCTAGATGAACAGGAAGTTGCCTTTGAGATTCAGTCTCCTAGAAATGTCAAAACTTTCTCATTTCCCATTCTTGCTCCTATGGGAAGAGATGGTACAGTAATTTCATCGGAACTGAAACATTCTCTCCAGGAGGGAGGAAGAGGTTCATAAACTCAGAAAGCTAAAGAAACGTACAAGACTCAAGAAACTCATGAATGACAAGATTTGTAAGGCCTCTCCCTACAATTAAAAAAATGTACTAAGAGTTGCTGGGGAAGATTGATTTTCACCGTCTCAGGAGTCACTCACTAATTGCCTGTATATAGTTCTTCACTCAGGGGTGGGGCCTTGTGAGATTTTCTCTATCCATGTTGGTATGTCAACTGGTATTGCCATTATTCAGGTCTTGTATAGGCTACAAAAATTAATCAAAGACCTCAGTGTGAATCTCAAAACACTAAAACTGCTAGAAGAAAACATGGGCAGAAAACTGCAAGATACAGGTATAGGGAAGAACTTTCTGAATAGGAATCCATTTGTCCAGGAATTAAGGCCAACAACTGACAAGTAGGACCTCATGAAACTAAACCATTTCTGTATAGCAAGGGAAACAAATCAAATGAAGAGGAAGCCTATAGAGTGGGAGAAAAAGCTGCCAGCCATGACTGTGATATAGGATTGATATCCAGAATATATAAAGAACTCCAAACACAAAGGGTCAAGACACAAATTAAAAATGGACTATGAATCTGAACTGAGAGTTCAGGTTTACTCTTCAAAAAAAAAAAAAAAAAGGCTAAAAAACCCTCAAAAAGCGTTCAACACCTTTAGCAAATTAGGGAAATGTAAATGAAAACTTTTTTGAAATATCCTCTCACCCAGCTGAAAGACATGTGCTGGTGAGCATCTGGGGAAAGGGGAACCTCATCCACCATTGGTGGGATTGCAAACTGTTGTAGGCATTCTGGATATCAGTGTAAAATATTCTTGAGAAACTGAAAATAGATCTATGATATGATTCATCTATACCGCTATCATAATTTGCTTTCAGTTGCCGTAATAAAGATCATGATCAAAAGTAACATGTGGAGGAAAAAGGTTTATATGTCTTACAAATTATAGTCCATTGTGGAGGGGGGGGGCGCAAGACAGGAACTCAAGGCAGGAACCTGAGGGGCAGAATTGAAGCAGAGACCATCAAACTTGTTGGCTCCTTGGTCAGCTCAGCTGCTTACTGGTTTGTTCCTCTTGGGTTGTTTAGCTTGCTTTCTTATACCAACCCAGGAGTACCTGCCTGGGGGTGGCATTGACCCAGTAAGCTTGGCCCTCCCACGTCTATTGATCAAGTAAACCTGCTATAGATCTTCCTATAGGCGATGTGATGGAGACATTTTTCCAGATGTGGTTCTTCCCAAACAATTCTAGCTTGTGTCAAATTGACAAGCAAACAACTAACCAAATAACCAAATGTTGGCATGTGCCCACAACAGCAATCTAGGAAAAACACGTCACAGAGATAATAAAAATTAGTAGAAGAAAGACATTTTAGATGTAAAGAATATGATGGAAAGCTTAGGAACAAGTGTGCACATAAAACATTCAGATGGCATGTGGATCAAAATAAATACAGAGAAGCAGCTAGAGCTCAGATTGGAAAGGTACATTACCAGCCATGGCCAGGGTCCAGGGCTTTTTCTTCCTCTGAACACATGCATTGTTATCATTTTCCTTGGAGTGTGGTCCTTCATCTTGCCAGTTGCAGCTGCATGTCCCTGTGCTGTACTTCTCCATCTCGTTCCCACTCGTCTTCTGGGGCTGTTCGGTGCCCAATAAGCATGTATTGGTTGATGGTACCTTTGTTTGGTTTACACCTCTGAAGCTAGTTATTTGGCATTGTGTAACCTTTCAGTAGACATCTGGGAATCAGGTCTTGCTTTCCTGTGTATCATTCACTCCCAGGTTTCTCACTGTGTTTATGATCTTTTTTTCCCATTGCATTCTGCTATAGAATGAATTGTATCTTGTCTGCTAATTCATAATTTTCAAGTCCTAACCTCCACTCTGATGGTATTTGGGAATGAGACATTTGGAAGGTGATTAGACTTAGATAAGGCCATGGGGGAGGGGGATTAGAAACACCAAAGAGGTCCACTGTAGATGTAACCAATCGTCTTTTTAAAATAAGAAACACAGAGCCAAGGTAAAAGAGAAAAGCCGAGAGGTCAGAGCTCAGAGATAAAATCTTACCTCC